TCAAATGAAGTATAGCTACTTAATCTGGTATTCCTTTTCTGAACTATATATTTTCTTCATAATTGCTCAGCAAATCAACAACATCCATTCAGACACCCCACTCATTTCTAATGACCACTTTTTGTCTTCTCAACAGGCGATTTAATAACGTGAAGCTATGCTGAACAAAGTTCACCGGGAGGGTGTTAAACTATTTAATAAGTTAATCGAGATTGGTGGGACACATGTCGAGGCTTTATTAATTGTCCCTGGTATTTTCGTGGAGGTTTCTATAAATGGATCACTCTGCACGTTGGCTGTCATAAGCCAATGAATGATTTGATTGATGGCCCTTACTGCAGGTAAATAATGCTTTATGAGATCTGTGAACAAGCTTAAGCCACGTGTGGTGTCACACACCTGTATTCCAGTGCTTTGCAAGTGAGGTTGGTGGAGCAGACAGACATCATCATGTGCACGTGCCACCCAACTTTCAGAGCTACTCGGTGGTCAGTATTTTTTGCGTGGATTTTTTTGCGTGTTGTCCCGCAACATTTGTGGGCTTTCTCTGGGTTACTTTGGTTTCCTTCTTCACATAAAACTACCCAACAAGGAATCAGTCATACATCCCGAGTGGGATTACTATGAACAGAGTTGTTAGACTCATTAAGGTGTTCCTGAACAAATACATAAAAACTGCCCTATTCATAACCATTACACTTTGGGTGCTAGGGCTTATGGGAAAGATCGCTCTACCGTCTCCCAAGTTAATGCCGGATTAATTTCAAGAGCACACACTCACCATCTTCAAGGTCCTCCACACGCTCCCTGCTGCTACAACCAAGGCCATATTCTTTCGAAGCCTCAATCAACCTTCGCTTGGTGGGACGTCAGTCTCTCTCCCCTACTACTCCTCCCGTGATCTGGAACTCCCTTATCCCAGCCATCCATGCTGCCGACTCCCTGCCCCTGTTCAAGTCCAGGCAAAAGAGATTCCTTTTTATCTGCCTACACTTGACTCCCTCTGTCGATGAAATAATGCCTACTGTGCCTGTGCAACATCGTGAGGTGTGGTCAAAGTTAGATGGCATGTAAATCGAAATCGTAATTTTAGCTAAATATTTACTGCATCTGAACAACGCTCCAATTGCAGGAAAGGAAGCGTCATTTTGGCTTCTCGCTTATGCCGTCCGTAACCATAGCTTTGGTCCCTGGTGGAAGTTGTTATGAGTGAATTAATTACGAGAGGGCGAATAGTTTGAGGCCTATATCTCCTCCAGACCAAAGGAACGCTTTAAAATGTAAATGAAATGCAACACAGTTTGGGTTTTTGAGGCACTTTTGTGCCATCTAATTTTAGGATGCAAATGTAATGAAGTAAAAATAATAATGATGATAATGATGATAATAATGATTTATTATTGATAAAGCACCCTCCTATACACCGGGACGTCTCGGCACCTTCAATCATATCTCTTCTCAAGAAATTTGAAAGGGCACCCCCAGAGGCACCTATCCCTGTGTGGGACAGGGTGAGTCAGCACCTGGCCTGTGAGTGGGCATGAGTGTGCCAGTGGGAGTGTTGATTGCAATGTAATAATCAAATTTGAGTGATATGTGGATCATTTTCAAATTCGCGCAAAATTTGGCCCCCGACAGAATGAGAAGCTTGAAATAATAAAGATGGACTAAAGTCGTCATCACATGTGTGAGAAGTGATTCAATATCAGATTAAAATGAAGGTGGGGGGGGGGTGTGGCCAAGTGACTCGGAGGTCAGAGAGGTCCAAGTGCTGAGCCGGCATCGCTGAGACCGTGGGGTTCATATCCTGTGATTGAACTGAGTTCTCAAGCGTAGTGAGTCGATGGTCTCGTTCCCAGTCACCAATCACTACACACATAAAAAACCCAATCACATTAAATTATATTCCGCACTTAATTTGGCCAAGTTCCAGCTCTGAGAAATGGAATATCAATTTTAACTGTCAAGTAAGTCACACAAACATTATGCAGAGTGGGTGGAAGAGTGCTGCCCTCTAACAGAGGTAGTAGCTCTGTATTATCCACTTCCGTGGGCCGTTCTCTGACATGAAGGGTTGCACTGCACGGCGAGAGATGAGCGAGTTCTCATCGCAAATTGGGACAGAGGGGGGATTGCGTTGCATCTCACAACAGAGCTGGTGACAAGGTGGATGTGTTATCTTGAGAACTGCTTTTACTGGTAGGAACCTCCTGGTTACACCAGCCCACAGGGGATTATTGTGTCCGTCCGTCCGTCGTGCAGGGAGGGGCTGGGTGGGGAGGGAGGGGCTGGGTGGGGAGGGGCTGGGTGGGGAGGGTGGGGCTGGGTGGGGAGGGGAGGGTGGGGAGGGGCTGGGTGGGGAGGGGCTGGGTGGGGAGGGGCTGGGTGGGGAGGGTGGGGAGGGGCTGGGTGGGGAGAGTGGGGCTGGATGGGGGGTGGGAGGGGTGGGGCTGGGTGGGGAGGGGCTGGTCACCCCGTGGTGCCCTTATAAAACTCAACATTTAACCTACTCACGCCGGCTTGTGCCCGCCCTCACAGTCGGGCATATTTGCGGAATACACCACGCCGCCGTTGACCCTGGCCATTGACCGAGCAACCCAACGTTCCTACCAGCTCCCTCCGCAGAACTGCTTTTTGTGTTTAGTTCGTTGTCCTTCCCCCGCACCTCCGATTAGCACGGTTGGGCTAGGTACGTTGCCAAAGAAGTTCAACATACGTACGTACATCACGAGAAGAGCGTGTGGGCATTTTGGTGAAGTGAGAGGGGATAATAGGCAAAGTAAGAAGCAGAGTGGGAGGGAATTGTGTAATGGCCAGCTGAGTTAGGAGTGAGCCATGCAATGGGCTTCCCTGTTAGACTCTGCTGGCTCTGCTGCTGCTGCTGAGGTTTCGTGTTAACATTATTCTGCACTATTACACGTTAGCTCACGTTATCCGGGCACGTCACTACGTCTGTGTACGGTATCCCTATGTGTAGTGCCTCACGAGGGGCACGAGAAAACAAGTGCTCGTACCCGAGTGAGAAGAAGAAGTAGCTGGGCAGATGGACCGAGTTGTGACCGGGGTGTGACGTGCCTGCTGTTCATTCCTGCTAAGGGCTAGGGGTTGTGCTGCCTCTCGCCGATTGAGAGACACGTGGGCACGGGAAGTCGGCTCATGATGCCTTGCTCCTTCGCAGCCAAAGCTCGAGTCCACAATATTTGACATGGCCCCAGGCTGGTATCGCAACAGAGTTTGGATTCGAGGCGTTAAATCGTCCACCGTGCAAGCCCAGGCCTAACCCGCAGTGACCACTTTTGTCTACTTCTGCCCATTCAGAAACCCGAGGCAGCGCACGTGTAGCCGTCAAGTTTAGAATGATGACGATGGCGATGAATAAGTGAAAGTGGCGCTGTCTGGCTGGATTGAGGGCCAGGGAGGGGATTCATTTCTCTCCCGGCAGAAAGGTAAAGGTGCAGCCCTGCAACGACTTGAAGGCAGCTCAATTAGAGCCCCTCCAAAAAAATTTTTTTTTTGGCCTCTTCTTCCACGCTGGTTAGACATCTTGGAAGAGTAGGGAATGGCCACCCTTTAGCGCATCACACGCGGAGCTGGCGATCGACAATTTGCGGTGTGGACCCATTGGCACTGCTGGGTGGACAGAGGCGGCGGTGGTGGCGGTGGCGGTGGTGGCGGTGGTGGTGATGGGGATTTAAGAAGCTTTGCACCGTTGTTTCAACTGGCGTGCCGGGAGATCGAATCGAACTGGCGACCTCTGCATTGCAAGTCCGGTGTGCTCACAATTAACAACAATCGTGGTATCAATGTCTGGGATAGCCTTATACAATTCGCAGTGAAGCAGGTTGTATCGAGGTGAGAAGGGAGGGGTGATTTATATATATATAAAACCCTTCAAGGAATCTCGCCTCCAGTTAGAATATATTTTCTAGCATGTGTTTACATTGTAGTTCATTCGAGTGATGTGGGTTTATGGGTGGCGAGATGTTAATTCGCTCGCCTGCTACACAGGAGGTCGTGGGGTCGATCCAGACCCTGGAGTTTGCGGTGTCTCTCTCCCCCGCGGTCGCTTGAATTTTTATCCAGCTCCTCCGGTTTTTCCTCTCCACATTAAGAATCACGCATTTAGAGTATTTGGCTGCTGTAAATTGCCACGTGTTAAGTGATTTCGCTGAGCGATCATTTGTGGCCAGGTCTCTCCTGAAAAAAAGCTAAATATCTCAGTGGTCGTAAAATAAATAAAAAATAGTTTCGTTAATTTAGCCGAAGTCGCATGCTACATACCTCATTATCTTCTTGGTTCTTTCGGTAAAGTCACGTAGAAGGGAAGTAATACAATAATAAAAATAAAACATAATAAAACAATTCTCACGACGTTTCGGCCACAACGCAAGCAGCCGCCTGAGGACGGCTGCTTGCGTTGTGGCCGAAACGTCGTGAGAATTGTTTTATTATGTTTTATTTTTATTATTTTATTACTTCCCTTCTACGTGACTTTACCGAAAGAACCAAGAAGATGAATCCCTGCAGTCACGAAAGCTTTAAATCGAAAGATACCTCATTATCTTATACAATTTCTGTAGCATCTACATAACGACGTATCTCAAGATGCGTTACAAGCAGGGGTATGCGATGGTGGCAGTTATGATTGAAGAGAGGAGAGGCTTGGTGAAGAGGCCCACGGCGCACGTGAAAGCACAGGCAGAGAACGAGCGGAATGTCTGAAGCAAAACGGATTCGAACATGGAGACGGAATTTCGCAATGGGCAGAGCAGACAGCCAGAGGGGTGGGAGTTCCAGACAACAGGAGCAGCAGAAGAGAACGAGCAACCTCTCATCGAGCGGAGGCCGACGGCGGCGTGTCGGCAGCCAGCCGCGGTCTCTGGAGTGTGGGGCGCGGTGGATGGGGGGGGGAGGTCAGGGTTAGGGACCAGGGTGAGATTGCAATGGACAACGGCAGCCAAAGGCACCCTACGCTCGCTCACACTCTCTCTGTCTCTCACCTGGGTTGTTCATCTCGTTGGTCTCGTCCTCGGCGAGGGGGCACTTGTCCCCATGCGTACTCGGCCGCGGCGAGTTGAGGTCCGACTTGCAGTAGTTGGGGGACGCGCCGGAGGCGGGGGCGGCCGCTGCCGCCGCCGCCGCCGCGGCCGCCGCGGCCGCCGCGGCGATCTGCGCCGAGCGCGGGATGTGTTTGTTTTTCTTCTTGGGCAGCTTCTGCTTGGCCATGGCCAGCGAGTAGTACATGCCGAAGTTGTTGACGATGACGGGCACGGGCATGGCGATGGTGAGCACGCCGGCGATGGCGCACATGGCGCCGACGAGGCGGCCCGACCACGTCTGCGGGTACATGTCCCCGTAGCCCAGCGTCGTCATGGTGACCACGGCCCACCAGAAGCCGATGGGGATGCTGGAGAAGTGGTTGTTCTTGATGTCCTCTTCCTTGGTGCCCAGCCGCTCTGCATAGAAGATCATGGTGGCGAAGATGAGCACGCCCAGCGCCAGGAAGATGATGAGCAGCAGGAACTCGTTGGTGCTGGCGCTCAGCGTGTGGCCCAGCACGCGCAGGCCCACGACGTGGCGCGTCAGCTTGAAGATGCGCAAGATGCGCACGAAGCGGACGACGCGCAGGAAGCCGAGCACGTCCTTGGAGGCCTTGGACGAGAGTCCGCTGAGCCCCACCTCGAGGTAGAAGGGCAGGATGGCCACGAAGTCAATGATGTTGAGGATGCTCCTCATGAACTCCTTCTTGTCCGGGCAGAAGGAAATGCGCATGAAGAACTCGAAGGTGAACCACAGCACGCACGCGCCCTCGACGTACATGAGCGCCGGCTCGGTGATGGCCTCCTTGATGACGACGGCCACCGTCGTGTTGCCCTGCTTGATGAACTCCGTTCGGTTGACCTTCAGGATGAAGTGCTCGTGCGTCTCCAGGCAGAAGGTGGTGATGGAGATGAGGATGAACAAGAGGGAGGCCAGCGCCACGTACTGCAAGGCAAAGACGGCGCACCGCCGGGGGGGGGGGGGGGGGGGTCACTCGACGCGGGCAGAATTCGCGTGCGCTCGTTCGCGCCCATGCTTGTGATTGTTATCGAACAGGCCGGTAGTGTGCCACGACCCGCAGAAACATTCATACTCACTTGCAATCCTTCCTAGACGCTCTTCCCTTTCCTTTTTCCATTCCCCCCCCCCTCCTTCCCATCCCCCCTCCCCCCTCGCACACCCACTATCTCTACTCCCTTATTCAGTTCTTCTTCCCCTAGCATCCCATTTCCCACATGAACGTACAAACACCCCGTTCGTGGTCCCCATTTGGGGTGGTGGCAGCAGCGAGCTTGATCTCTTCCCTCCTGGAAGTTCTGGAGCAACGGAGTTAGGGACTTTCTACCCCCTCCCCTACGTCGTGGATCTCCGTGCTCTATATAATGAAATGAACAAAAAAGCCCCACTTACAAAAGTGGAATCTGTTTGACATCATGCCTGCCTACGTGTAAAGCGATGTTCAATTAATTGATGCGAATGCCACGGTCTGAATTATCAGCATTATACATGAAGGCTCAATCGTTATCACTCGGGCACGTGATATCTGTACATACGTAAGCACATTTTCAATGATTGCGACCCCAATAAAAGAGCAAGTGCCGTGAATGTTAAAAGTGAATGCTGGGTTCTGTTTAACCTCTCTTTGTTAGGGAGTGAAACTTACCTGTTTTACATGTATTGCCATGTCATATTTTATTCCAACACAAAAGCATGATTTCTCAAGGTTTTTTTTTAGCCTGCTTAGGTACCTTTGGTCAGTTTCTTCGTGAATATTTCGAATCTTGGAAGAATACACAGTGCCCAGAGAATCACACGAATACAAAAGCCTGATGTTCAAGATTTTGTACAAGTAATGTAAGTAACCCACTTGCTCCACTACTGCACATTGGCCACCATCTGTCTATGTTTAGAAATACAGTAATTAGCGCAGTGCACTGCACCACGAATTCCCAACGACCCGAGTTCGATTCCCAGTCACGGATAACATCGGTGGTGATCGATAGCTGAACCGATCGTCAACTTCCCCAAGTTCAGCGATCCACATTGACCAACACGGTGAAGTGTGATTGGACAACTCCCATGACTCTGAGACAGCTCATGGAGGCCTATATCCAGCAGTGGGATTGATTGAGAGGGATACATATTAATGGTATTCAATATTATGATCCAATAAACCATTGCTTCAAAGCACTGATCATACGGCATGTGTCACCATAAACTGAAGTTAACTATTTTTATTTGAACAGGTAAGACACACTGAGCTATATCGCAATTTTTTTTCGGAGCGACCTGGCCACAAATGATAGCTCAACGAAGTGGCTTATCACGTGGACATTTTTGTTTACAGCAGCCAAATACTCTAAACGCATGTTTCTAAATGTGGAGGGGAAAACCAGAGGATCTGGAGAAAAATCTACGGGACCACGTGGAGAACAGTTAAACTACAAATATAGAGACATCAGGGTTGGGATCGAACCCATGCGCTCGTATACTATCTACAATTTATAATAATTATTATTATTATTTATTACTACGCTTGTACATGTATCATGATATGACACGATGCTGAATTTCAATATATGACGATTATCGGGATATCACTTTCCCTCAATTTTATAATTGTATTTTGCCTATTTATCATCTTGTGTGTGCTTTAATGTAGATCTGAAGCTTTCGTGACTGCAAGGATTCATACTCTTAGGTTTTTTTCGGTAAAGTCACTGTTATTTTGCTGTGCCTTTTTACACCTAATGAAGGAAGCTTGTGTTGCCCCCGAAACGTCGTGATTTATTATTTTATTTCTATTATTATTTCTATTATGTTAATTATTTCTTTATTAATTATTTATTTTCCCCTACGTGACTTTACCGAAAAAAACCTAAGAGTATGCTTCAATGTACTTCAAGTACAAATAGAGATTGCTTAAAAACTCAAAAGCCTGAGTTCACTTCACATAAGCCTGCTCTATATCTTATAACGACTGCAACTTTACAATCTATGTAGAACACTTCGTAACGCACGTGCTCTCAGAAATATGAATGACGTCACGTAAACTGCCGTGCGATGTATTACTCTGGAAACCGTTTGAAGAAGTGCTATTTTAATAGATTACAGCAATTTTCTAGGGAGATATTAAATTTGCGTTGTAAAATTTAATTGGTCTGACTTCGTAAATATTTTGTCAGGAGATTAACTGACAAAATAAACGGGCAACTTTTATTCATACCGTTATCGCGGGTTTTTTCATATCGTACGATGCATCATAATATAACCATATCACGGAGACCCTGGCACCTAAACAAGATATACAGAGGCATTTTCACTGGTCTACATCCTTCGCCCATTCCTGTCTGCACCCTAATAGCCTCAAACATCTCCGCTCACTGCAGATGCCCTTATAGATGGCCCCTAAAGGCATTTTGGGGCTCTGCACGGTTATCTTCTCCTAATTAGATATTATTTTTAGTTTCGCTGCAAGTGGGAGTAACGCGCAGAGCGAGGCTGGCTTTTAATCCACTGTGCAATGTCCCTACCTCCGTTCTTTGCTCGTCTCCACGGATACACCTTTGCATAAAGCCTCAGTAACGGTGTACTAATAAGAGCCCATCGGACACGTATCGATACACATTTCGAGACCGACGCGGATTGGCAATGTTGTTGGATCATGTAGCGGAGTCACTTTAATATTAACGGCAGCTTAAATTTATTGTTTGTGCCATGCCTGTCGGTGCGCCTCCGTTTACTCTGGTAAGGTATGCCAGGTCAAGATTTTGTAGTGTTGAGAGCGCAAATTCTCACTTTGCAAAACTGCTTTCACAATACGTTTTTAAAGTGTGAGGCTGAGTCTAAATTACCTTTCTCTGCAAAATACCAGCAATGGGCTGAGTGCTGTTGTGGCAGAACGTGTCATCTCAGTCTTCCAGGGTTCATAAAATTCTAACTGCTTTTGTGGGAGGTCAACCGTGAGTGACCTTTTGACGAATGGTCCCTGCCACAGCAATGCGGAATTTCCACTGCAATTTCAGAATCGCCAAGACACGTGCGTTCGAGCGATTGTTTGTGTTGATGTGGTGGCTCTTTGACTTTGATATTGGTCCTAAACCACTGGAGCAAATTTAATTAACAATAGCCGATTTGAAAGGCTTTTGCCTGATTGGAAATATAACCCGATGAGTTTAATTTACCCTTGACCCCAAATAATCACATTTTTTAAAACACTTTACCACTTGGCCAGCAAGTGCAGGATCATTGACTTGGCTCTGACATGATGCACGTCTGTCAATCAGCTAATGGCTTCGTACTGAAATGCAATCATTTAATGGCTGTGCTTTTGGCTCTTCCACACTGCCACACCTTGCCTTGTCTGAAGGAGACACATCCTTAAGACAAGAAGGCTTTAGTCAGTCAACGAATCATTTTGCGGCCCTTTAATTAGCGATATGGAAGATGTTCACACGCGACACCATTGACATCGTCAACCCACGCTGAATCCACCGCAGAAGGAAAGCCTCCACAAGCCGTTGCCATCACACGCGGCTCTGCGATGTGACAATCCACCCAGCGCCCGCAAACACCAGCTGATTGCATCGCTCAGTCTATTTGGTGGTGTGGACGTCCCCCTGGACGCGTTCCATCCCTTGGCTGCCACTGGATCGCAATTCCTGACCACCGGCCATCGTCCCAATCAGAGACGTGTCCTGCCCAAGCCCGCTCAACCATTCTCTCTCAGGCTAATGTGAAGCATGCATCTCTGTCGCATATCGGCATGTACTACTGGTTCAATTCAGTAGTAGGACAGCTGTTCGCTCATCTTTGCTCATAGTTGACTTCATAATGTGGATGTGACAATCACTCAAAGAAGTAAATCAGCATTAGGCCCATCTTATAATTGAGTGCACTGGTGTGTGTAGTAATGTCTTTGAATGTGGCCTAAACTCAACGCTAGTTTTACGTTCACTCATATTACCAAACTTAACACGTTGTATGCTTTTCAGCGGTGATCTTATTTGTTTTAGAATCCACCTATATTATCATAAATCTCGATTATACAGTATGTGACGTTAATAATGTGTATGGTATTTCCCCACAATATCATCCCGACTGTGCTATTGGCATCGTGCAAAGAGTCAAAGTATGTGGATCTCTCACATGGCAGTCCCTCTGTTCATGTTAGAGAATGGCCCGTGGAAGCGGTAGTCACAGAGCTACCTCTGAGATATTGTCAAATGACCTCTAGTTCACACACAGTAACGATAAGCACTTTTTTGTCTGCTCAGCATACGAGAGTAATCTGTGTTGCGTGACGGTCAAACTGCTATTTTAATTGTCAGAGCTGAAATTAAGCCAAATTAAGTGCAAAACCAAATTCTATGTTGCGCTTTTTTGTGTGCGCAGTCATTGGTGACAGGGCTGAACCCATCAACTCGCTACACTTGAGTGCCTGGCTTAATCACAGTCCATTACCTGGATTCGAACCGAGGGTCTCAGCGGTAGCAGCTCAGCCCGCTGACCACTGATCCTCACAGCCATCTCTTGATGAATTCGCGTGTATAATCAAGGGCACTAACAGGGGCGTGCAATGATTGTTCACCTCAAAGTAAAACACGTGCAACTGATACTCCAAATAATTCGCTAAAACATGAATCATACATCGATGATTTGAACGCAGCCCTTCGCTTGCGTGGTTATAAACTGCGCTCAAATGCGCTCCGAGTTGGCAAGCATGGATTAAGTTTGAATGTACAGCTAATCTCATCGCCATTGTTACAAGATATGCCATCACAGCAGCTTGCCGACCAGCATGTGTTCATATATAGAATGTTCAAGTCCCTCTTAGGATTATTTTCTCCATCGTATTTTATCTTTTATATTTTGAGTCAACGAATATGATTAATAAGGCGGTCAGGGTTTCATTTACGATGTGTAAGGGTTGGCAAACTGGACTT